GCCCAGATGCTACTGAGCAACAGGGTGCTCCTGTTTTACTTCCTCATTTTGCTTCCGCTTTTAAGACTCAAAGCAAATGCAGAGGTAAGCACGTGAAATGCTCAACAGGGCAGGCACAATCATGAGGCTTTGCTGGCAGAGCGTGAAAAGTGAAACTCTGCGCTTGCATAACAGATCTCATGCTAAGAGAGTGGAAGCCATAGGCACAAGATGACCTTTTTGAAGATTTCTATTCTAAAAGAATGGAAAGGAAAGAGTGAGACAAGAAGGAAAGGGTAGGATGAAGACAGGAGTGGGAGATGCTCTAAACATAACAAGGACACTAAAAGAAAAGGGGAACAACTCTACTGAAACCAACTCTGAATCTTTATTGTCTTGTCTCAACACCTGGACTCTGTTTTCTCTCTCAAAGCAGAACAAAGCAAAATCTGCTGGAAAAAATGTGAACAGACCAATTAACTAATTCTGTTTGCATTAACCATCAGACCTAGGATTCAATTTCAAGTGATTCATAGCATCGTGGTGAGATATGCTGATGAGGTGATTGGCTGGATCTATTTCCTCGCCTGGTCTATCTCCTTTTATCCTCAACTCTTTGAGAACTGGCGACGAAAAAGGTAAAGAGTCTTAAGGTGTGTTTGCAAGTCACTTAAGCACTTCTGCAAATCGTGTTCCTAGCTTCAGTTACATCCATCCTGGTTATTGTGAATTATGCATGGAAAGACTAGGGAAAAAAGCAAGGCAAAGACAGGGCCTGAATGAATGCAGCCCCAGTGAGCTTTTATGCATGCAGGTCATAGGAAACTAAGTGCATCTTACAGACACCTAATCCCATAGTTTGGCATACAATACTAATTTGTGATAGAGGAGACTTCTCCATTCCCTTTGGTGTCATGTTGTAAATCACCTGGCTGAGCCAATTGTGATGACCACCTTCAAAGATTACTTCCTTGTAAGCTGCCTATCAGACAGCTCTTTAGTGTTGTGATTAGGCCAGCTCCCTTTAAACTAAGTGACTAAGTAGAAACAATATTATATATGAAAACTAAAGCATTTGTTTTAAGCAAAGATGCACTACTGCTTCTATGGATTCAGGCTGGAATAGTTTTATCAGACTAGCTGAGCTCATGGAGGGGTGAAGTTAAACAGCAGGGACACAACCTTGTCAGTGAGAGCTGTTTTGAGTACCAGTGCATGGCATATGAGGGATATTTCACCTTGCTTCCTGATGAACTCGCAGCATCATATTGTCACAATGCCTGCAGCTTTCGCTTACATCAAAAATTGCCTATAAATCAGTACATTCTAGGGTGAAGTTGTCCCTTGAACTGCCTGTAATGCTCTGATGCATATTTCTCATACATTTTTCCCCCCTGCTTCTCTAGTGTTGTTGGACTAAGCTTTGACTTTATAGCGTTAAACCTTACTGGCTTTATAGCATACAGTGTATTTAATGTTGGACTCTTCTGGATTCCCTTTATTAAGGTAAGCATAATTATCTCTTAATACTTGCTGGGGGGTGGGTATCTACAGAAGGCGGTTAAGGCATTTGGCTGGTTTTGGTTTCTCTTACATTTAGGAGGAATTCTTAGTCAGTTATCCCAGTGGGGTGAACCCTGTGGCTATCAATGATGTTTTCTTCAGTCTCCACGCAGTAGCTCTAACTCTCCTCGTTGTAATTCAGTGCTGCATCTACGAGGTAAGTCTCAATGCTGGTCTGACCTGTCAGCTCTGGCAGAGCTCCCTCTGCCGGGCACCTCACCACTCCCCGTCCACTCCTCTTGGGCTTCAAAGTCCTCTTCATTGCACTTTCATTGGTCTTTCAAGAAGTCAGGCTTCACAATCCAGATGCCTTTAATCTTTCCTGAACTAGTAGCAACTCCAGTAAGCTTAGCTACTTCAGCCTCATGGATGTTCTGGGCTTATAAGTAAACTCCTTAGGGACTGAAAATAACTAAGGCAAACAGCCAAGTTCATAAAGTTCCCAAACAGATCTCTAGCCAGCACATATATTGGAACTCTACACAGTACAAATGCTGGTATGTGCTTTGCTGTTTTCTCACTACTTGGAGCATTCTTCAAGCTAGGAGAGGCCTTTAGGGATTCCCTGCAATTTGAACTTTCAGCTTTTTTCAATTTCTTTTCTCCTAAAACAGCTGCAAAGGCCCTTTTATAATTCTCACCCTTTTCAGGTGAGACTGCTTGTTATAGTCAGGTGGTTCTTTAATTCCTGTTGATTGTTATAGGTTGCTCTTTATTTAATTCCCATTGTAAAAGCCTCTGATCTGAACAGCCAATTTTCTCTAGGTGGTAACTGTTTCTCTCTTAGGGTGCTTCCTTTGGTGATGGTAAATCTAAAACTGTAACAGCCCATTTGTCAGCACTGCTAGGTACAAGAGTCTTTTCTTGTGGAGACAACCATGAATCTTTTACCATAATGGCATTAGCAGCCTTTTGCATATATAGGAACTCTTGATGTCATCAGACTGAACTCAGGAGATTGTTACAGATGTGGCACTGATAATAGGCATCATAAATATTCAAGAATACTGCCTCAGTATTGTTTCCCACTTACTCATGAACAATGGTGTTCCAAATGATTGATGTTGAGTATTGCTCATCAGCTCTTGCAAACCTACAGCTGGTTGCTGTAGCACTCATTTAATTTTAGAATTCCCTTGAGGTATGAGCCTAACTGGTACAACAACAGGTTTGGACTGTAACCTTGCATAGTCCTGGGCATATTCTCTATCTTATAGTGTGTCTGGGGATGTATGACCTAGGTCAGTCTAAGTGTATCTGCATTTCTCTTTCAGAGAGCAGGTCAGAAAGTATCCAAAGTTGTTGTTGGACTACTGGCACTTGCATGGATCTTCACATTTACAACACTGTTTCTTGCTGCAGCTGAGGAAATGACATGGCTACAGTTCTTATTCTGTTTCTCTTACATTAAGTTAGCAGTCACACTGATAAAATATTTTCCACAGGTAAATCTGAACTTTTCTGCTTTTATACTATATTCCTGTCACCCTAAGCTTGTAGTGTATGCTCTCGAAAGTCTGACTAGACTAAACCAGCAGTGATTATTTATTAAGTCTTTTAGTGACAAAAACAGTATAGTTATACAGAAGGCTTTTTAAATGTTAATCTTGAGAATGCTTGTATGTGACATGCTGACCAACTTCTTGTTACACTGTCAGGCATACATGAATTTCCGTCGGAAGAGTACTGAGGGATGGAGTATTGGAAATGTATTACTAGACTTCACTGGTGGAAGCTTCAGCCTCCTCCAGATGTTTTTGCAGTCGTACAACAACGGTAAGGCTGGAACTGAGGTGGTGGGGCCTTTTTTTAATGGGTTAGGAAAATCCTGTTACAAACCAGATATAAACTGGTAGGTTATCTTGGGAGAATGATGTTTGTGCTATAGTGTGGGTAGCTGTTCTTATACTAAGAATGAAGAATCTGTTTGTATTCCTTCAAGATAGAAAATTAAATAGCTATTCTGAAGAAACAACAGGAACAGTTATTAATTAGCTTTGCATAAGATGTACACCACAGTCAGTCTTAGGGTGTGTCTAAGCAGTCCATGTAATAAACATGAACTTCTCTAATATGTATGGCATGACCTTGTAGTCTTGAGACAAGACTACACTTGAGGAGTTAGTCTTAACTCTCTAATTTTGTGTTTGACAGATCAGTGGAAGTTAATCTTTGGAGACCCAACCAAGTTTGGCCTGGGTGTCTTCTCCATCATCTTTGATATTGTTTTTATGGTCCAGCACTACTGCCTATATAGGAGACGAGGGTACGAACCTTGTGAATAACATCACTTGAGAAGACAAAAACTTTAAATGGAACTTGCCCCTGTCCTGGCTGAGGGCTTTCAAGATGCCTGCTGCCAGTTACCAGAAATACTGATTCTGATCTCTGTACTTTGATCCTCTCTGGTATGGAATACAAGCTGTTGCCTCACCAAATGCTGATTGCCAGATGCCTTAAAGGACAGCAAGCTATCTAGCCACCACTTGCAAATGGAGGACTCACGCTTGTTGAAGCTGTAAAGGCAGCTTAATGTGAGCTGTCCAAGCACCACGTGGCTTTTCTTCCATTAACAACAGGAAAGAGAAAGACCAGAGTAATGTCTTTCTGAATGGAAGTGAAGCACAAAGAGCAGAGTTCTGGCTTCCAAGAATCTGAGGTCATGTTTAAGCAACCCCTTAATATCTTAATGTAATGACTGAAGACTGGATTTAAGTGCTGCTCTCCTCCTCACAGACAGATCACAGTAGAACACCACTCAAATTGACTGTTAACAGCTGTAGTGGCACACAAAAGAATAAGGTTGGTAGCAAATACACAAATACTAGAACCTGAACTCTATAGAAATACTGAGAAGTGGCAGAAACTATTTTTATTTCACTGAATGCTTTTTCAAAGGTGTCAAGACAAGTGCTCAGATTTATCTGAATACTTCTCATGCACTAACTTCATTTTGCTCAGTTCTACTGACATGCCTTGAATCCTAAACAGGGGATGGCAAAGATTAAAGATTTATCAAAGAGATAATTTCTAAGTAGATCATGTTAACAGCCTTGTGATTAAAGTTTAAACACATGGTTTTGTTCCTGGGCAACTTTCTAACTACATGTGGTATGTTCTAGGTAGAGATCAAGGTCTTGAGTTACTTGAAGGTAAGGATTATACCCTTTAAAAGAACTAGAAGGGAATCTATGCATTTGTACTTGTCTTATTAGGTGTCTACCTAAGGAAAAGTAGAACCCCTTCTCCCCCCACTAGAGCCCAGGTGAGGTTTGACAGCTCACTAACACCAGTGAAATCAGACTGTACTAACCTCAGACTGCATTGTGTTGATGTAGTCCACAATCCGCTTCAACTCAGAGAAAACACCTCAGCCAGAGGCATTCAAGTGATGTGGCATTCTTAAGTGGAAGGAGAAACAGCTCAGGAAATCCAGCTTTGTTTTATTGTGTGTAAAGTCAAGTGAAATAGCAGTACAAATAGCAGTGTATCTTTATAGTAACAAAAATAACTTCAACGCCTTAAAATTTACCACTGAATTCTTAAGTTACAAAATTCAAAAGCAGTATTGTAGTAATTCCGTAGATATAAAAACAGTAAATAGGCATCTGCTGGTGTGTACAGAACAGTCTGAGATGCATTAATCACAACATACGTACATGGCACAGCAGTAATGTACTGAATAAGTTAGTCTGCCACCTCCTCATGTTCTATTTACAACAGCTTACCTGAAGACTGCTTAAGGAAAGTATAGATATGTATAAATCAACTGAAGGGGGATTAAGAACTCCAGTTTTTGGATAACTGTAAAGCTAGCTGGTGAACAAACCACTAGGATGCTAGATAATTTAACTTAGTGTTGCAGCAAGAATCTTAAATCCTGTGGCATGTTGATTTAAACAACTTAGTATCTTACCAGAAGTTTAAATTTGGTCGAGGCACTTTTGCAAATTACTGGCATATTCATCTCAATAAATCAGTGATTTAAGCAAAGTCTTCTAGAAGACAGACCACAATTCTCCCTTCCCATTTCAAGTCAGATCAAAGTGGAATGAAGAACTGCAGACTCTACAGCTACAAACAGCTCTTTTGATAAGTTCAGCAACAGTGTTTTCTTTCCTGCTCCATAGTCCTTTCATTTAAACATGATTCATTTGATACTACAAATTACTTGGGAACAAGGAGAATTCAGGTTTTACTCTGCCAGTGAAGCTGAACTCTAGTGTCTATGAACTTTTAGTGTACTTCACAAGCATTAATCTAACACTTGTGTGTTACTTAGTTGTTTCTTATCTGAAGAGGCTGCTTTGTACAGGGAGTCTTTGCAGTAAACCATAATGCCCCAAACCCTTCAGCATACTCTGTCTAGCTAGCACACAATGTGGGATTAGTACAGTGCTCCTCCCCACAGCAGCAGGCAACTCTTAATTCTGGCATTTTAATGTGATAGCATGGGGGGACAGGACAGCTCACTTCTAAAAGCAAACCTTCTTATCTTCCATAGCAGAAACCACATTTCTTCTTAAAATAGGAAGCTTTTGTGCTATAAAAGAATCCTGACAAAGTTAAGGCTTTTCCAGTTGCTTCCTTAGATAAACTAGGGTTTGCCCTGTCCTCCTGAAAGCCATGACTACAATAAAGTCTTACCATGTACCTGCAGGGAAGACTTTAGAGAAGCACTCTGCTGAGGGGACTAGAGTTTTACTACTGCCAGTTACACCAGAGGAAAAAAAAAAAAAGCCAGCCCAAAAATAGTGTTTACCACAGTTAGGAACATGCACTCCTTCCAGACAACCTGTTCAGGTCTAGTATTTGCTTCCTTGCTTGATATCAGTCTATGTATCTCCCTCCCCAACCCTTCCCCAACTTTATGATTGATTAGGACATCATGGATTGTTGCACAGCCTTCTGGAGAGATTGTCTAGTCACCAGCAGCCGTACCACCTCTTCGTTCCTTTTTGTCAGTCTCTTCCTAGCTTGGTCATGGGTCACCATTGTCATATCCCAGCCATTCACCTAGGGAGAAAACATAAAATGAGGCAGGTGCATGGACTCCCGGGTGTTCTATCAGCACTATGTAGTAGATATGCTTATGTCACAGCTCATTTTGTTTATAAGCCCCACAAACTGTCCTGGGAAGCACCCAGAAGACAGTATTTCCCCCAGCAGAAACTGCTCTGTAGTGTGCACCTAGTAGTACATCATTATTTGTCTTTAATCTTGGTGTTTACCTGCATGATCTTATCTCCAATCTGAAGTCCTGCAACTTCTGCTGGGCCTCCTTCCGTCACCCTTGTTACATAGATACCCTGGGGAAAAAAAAATTGTGTTCATTTACTAAATATGGGAGCATTAAATACCCAAGGCCATTCTACTGACAGTGCAAAAATACTTTGTAGTATATATATTATGGGATTCTAGTTAAAACCAGGGCTTTTCTTAGAAAATAGAAAAGGTGGAGAGCAAACTTAAACTTAGTCTGCAAATGATAATGTGGCAACAGAGTAACTTTTGTAGTCAACTGCGTGAGAGGATGGAATACAGACACGAGTGAGTCGAGCTTGCTGAGCGAGTTGGATATGCTCAGCCTTTTGCAGAGAGGGCTGCTACAGAAAACAAAGAGCATCTGACCTTGTCGGTCTTGTCTTCGGAGAATGGATTCTGAGTAGGATCCTGATCAATGCCACCTCCAATGCTGAAGCCCAGAATCAAATTGTCACCTTGACGAAGCTTATGTATTTCAATTCTTTGCTGAAAAGAGAAAAAGATAAAATAGCTGAGTATTGTGATCACTGGAAGAAATCTCAGGTGTGTCTCAAGACACAGATACTTCAGACCCTGTCAGATTGTCTTTCACAGAGATACCCTGAACCTCCTGGAGCGGGCTGCCTCACAGCTGGGTGAGCTTACATGTTGTAGGCAGACAGCTCTAAAACCCCTTGGCAACACAGAACTATCACGTGGCACTTACTGTCTGTCTGTCCATCAGTCACACGCAGCCTCGGTGGTGACAACAGTTGGCACCGAATTGTTCTCAGGCCCTACCACAAAACAGCAGCACAGGAAACCATCTGCAAGCCAATGCTGTGATACAGCCAAGCTCCTTAACTACTTGCTGCTTTACCGCTTGCCCAGAGATACAAGGGGAAAACGCTAAAACCAGAGCAGGTCTCTTTAAACATGAGTCACGTCCCGATAACTGGCAGTCACTCACAGCTAGACTCATCTTGCTCTTTATCCACACGCCTCGTGATCCTGCCCAGCCCTATCAGTGGGAATAACAACCTATTATTAGGATGGTTCTTTTTCAAGATAACTTATCAACACAACTTATCAACACGCTCTTGTAATCCCGAGGCAGGTTCCTTGCTGTCTGACGAACACGGGCATCTGACAAACTTGACACATTACCTAAGTGCGATATAAACGCCAGCCTAGCACAATTCTTGAGCCAAGATAAAAAGCCACAGGTTTAACCGAAACAGTAACCGCCCAACTCAGCTTCTTCGCCCTGACCGAGGGAAAGGTGTCCCTGCTGGCTGCAGGGGGGTCGCGCTGGGTGACCCACGAGGGTCCCTTCCACCCCAAAACCCTTCTCCGACTCTCCCCCACGGGCCCACTCGGACACCACCAGCCTTCCCGAAAGGGCGCCGGGTCACAGACCGCCCGGTCACCCCAGCACACCTTCCACAGACGCAACCGAGTCGAGCTCGCCGGCTGCGTTCCACGCGGGAGCGGAGAAAACTTCGTGCGTGGCTCCAGCGCCCCAACCCCCCCCCGTTACTCCGGCCGGGCTCGGCACTGACCGAGAGAGCCGCCGCCTGCGCGGGGGTGAGGAGCGGCGGCTCTGCAACACCCTTAACCCACTCCTCCCACGCACCCACGGGCCGGGGCTGCTCCGGGACGCTGCCCCGGGTCGCTCCGGCGGCACCTCCGCCCCCACCGAACCCCCTCCGCCCGGTGACAGCCCGCAGGGCGCTCCCGGGCGGTACCGGTACCGCCGCCACCGTCCCCGTCCCGCTTAGCGGCCCCCGGCGCGGCGTCCCTATCCCCGTCCCCGTCCCCGTCCCCGTCTCACCACCACGGCGGTGACCGGCTGTCCCGGTACGTACGACATGGCCCCGCCGCCGCTGCCGCCGCCCGAACAAAAGCGCCTCGCCCGGTTCCGCCCCTTCGCCGCCGCCAACCAATCGGATACCGCCTCGCCCGCGGCGGAGGGGAGCGGGCGCCGGAAATCAGGTTTTCTTTCCCGGCGGTCTCCGCGCCAAGATGCCTGACAGGAGCTTCCGGTGGGGAGGCGTGAGTCTCCGCCGTGGCGGTAGGTTGGGCCCGGCGGCCTCGGTCTCCCGTTTTACTCCCCCCTCCCCAGCCCCCGCGGGCGGCCGGCGGTGACGGGCGGTGTGTGGTGTCCCTTGGCAGGGTGTGAGGCGTGAAGGTCGGACCCGGGCGAGGGTCCCGCGGAGCAGCGCGTCGCCGTGGATGAGAGGTAACGGGCCGGGGGG